AAACAATGACGGATCTACATTTTCGAACATTTATACGAAATTTATATCGAATATTTAATTTTTCCTAGAAATTTTCCCAACAAAAGTTTGATTTAAAAATATATAACGAGTATTTACATTTATCATTAACAAAGCGGTAAAAATTCTGTTTCAAAAAATATAAGTTTAATTAACGTAAGTTTATTATAAATAATTAACATATAAATTTTTTTTATAAGAGAAAAAAATACACATTATAATTTACGAAGCGATATGATTAACTTGTAAATCCGCCACTGGTATAAGATATGGGACATTTCTTATCTTGATAAATTAATCTTGCCGGTTTATTTTTGTCCGTTAACATCCGTTGTTACATTACTGTCAATCTTCTCTATAAAACAATAGTCTTGGAACGATTTTGATATGAAAACGTAGCGAAGAGTTCCGTCCGTTCACTTTCTTCCTCCTTTGAGAGATCAGGATTTCTATGGAGTGGACACGAATCGTGTGTAATATCACTCCAGGAATGGCACAGCTATCCGAACAAGCGGTTATTCCATTTTTTGGTCCTTTGATACCGTCATTTTCACTCCAACGCTCACTAATACGTAATTTTACGATAATCGCGCGCTAAATCGTTATCAATCGATGAACTTAAAGCAACGAGAAATGCGAAAGGTCGGTCCAATCGCGTATCTTACGCAGGACAGCGAGTTTAGGATTTTCTCTACACGAGTTATATTCTTTTTATTCTCTTTCTTCTGCTTTCTAATCGCTTCGTCTTCTATGATACTGGCCCTCTCTTTTTCTCTCTCTCTTGCAAAGTTGTTTAATGATAAACTTAACTAGCAGCGGTAACCGATCACCCGAATCCGCGTGACTCGTTCTGAAAAACTTTTTAATCGCCGCGGAGGAACGTGACCGCCTTCGAGAGAAAGGACGGTTCGAGGAATGAAAAGAACGCGCGACGCGGATAATCGGCGACCGCTCGTGATATGTAAATGGAAGCTTACGAACTGTATTGTACTAGAGGAAAGATAATCGATTTAATTAAAAAAAAAAAGAACAACATGATATGAGGGAAGAGGGAAGGGGGTGGGCATTCGCTTTGCATTCTATTATTCCCCCAAGCAGCAACGATTTACACAATCTATATGCGCGATTTAAGTCCGAGAAGAATTTCCCTCTGTCGGAAAAGGGTCCTTTTCATATTCTTCGAACACCGATCTAACTTTTTTCCCAGACATCACTGTTCTTCACTGTGGCGTTTGCTGTACGCAGTGTCTCTCACAGCTTATATACTCGAAAGCGACTCGACGTTTCCACCCACTCGAGTTCCTCTTCAACGGGAGCGACGATCGCGGGCCTGGCTGTCGAGCCGCCCGGGGCGTCTCGTTACAACTCGGTCGTAAGCGGCTCGGCCTTCTCGACGATCACGTGGAACTCTGTCTCCCGGTACAGCCTGCCATCCGGCACCACCATGGTTATCCTGCTGTCGACCGGCGTGCCGGACGTTGCCGCTTCCCTGCCGATCACGCCATTCTTCTTGGAGACCACGTCGGGTGCGTTAGTGGGCACGCTGATCCACTTCTTCCTGTTGTTCCGCCGGCGTCTTCGGCAGCACCAGACGATGAGACACACGCTCGCTAACAGGGCGAGAACGGCACCTACGATAATTAGAATGAGAACGAGCATGGAACCGCCGAGCGAGCAGTGACGCGTCTCGTAGTCGACGAAGCTCGTTGGTACGCCGTCCAGTCCGCCGTCCAGACATAGGAAGGTCTCCGGAGTCTCGTTGATGGGCTCCTGGGGCTGCGACAGCGGAGGCGGCACAAGCGAATTTTGTCTCACGTAGAACCGTGAGTAAACGCTCGTATAATTGAGCACATTATTCTTCCACACGGGCAACATTTGGCAGTCACAAGCCTGCGCGATGAGTAGATTATCGAGCTCTGGCCGAAAACTCGCGCGATCAAACATGAGCGAGCCCTCCTCGAAGCTACTCACGCTGTTATTCTTGAAGATGAGGCCATGGACTAGCGATGACGAAGACGACGATGACGAAGACGACGACGATGACGATGATGATGACGATGACGGAGGTGATCTAATCTCGCGATCCGCGCGAATACCCAGGAAAGCACCCATGCCAATGCTGCCGAAAGTGTTGTTCTTGATGATGACGGCGCCGCGCGCCGTCACGTCAAACGCCTCGCTCTCCAGGCTCTCGATCGCACAATTCTGTATCGCCACTGTTCGCGGGCTCCTCACGATAAAGGCGTTGCTCCTCACGGTGCCCATTTTCACGCCGTCCAGCATAAACTTGTGGTAGACCTCGATGTCGTTCATGGTACGACTCGGCAACTGATCGCCGAAACTGCCACCTATCACGTGGAGATAACCGACGTCGAATTTCTTGAAGGCTTGCGCCTCCGTCGTCTCGATGCGGCAGTTCTCCAGTCGAAGAGTGTCCGTGTGGATGAGATTGGCGAACGAGAAGGCACTCAGCTGGCCGATCCGCACATTCTCGAACGCGATCGCCTCGACGTCGCCGCGGAACACGAAGCTCGGCATCACGTCGATGCTGCTGTTCCGCACGGAGATCCGCGTGCGCGTGCTGTGCGATGACAGCTCGAAGCTTTGTCTGGCCAAGGTCAGATTCGCCACGTTAATCAGATCCACCGAACGTAGCCCGGCCATCGAGGCCAGGCTTGAGTTTGCGAGTATCACGGACGAGCAGTTGCTCACCACTATCCTGCTGGTGTGGGGACTCAGCCGTCTATCCCCCTCTGTGGTCAGGATCAATTCCTGCAAGTTGAAACGACCTTTTATTTCGAGATATCACGATAGCTCTATATATCTTTTATATATCTTTTATATTTATCTATATAGAGGGGGGAAGAGGGTAATTATTTTTAAATTTGTTCTATGAATATTCATTATATATATTATGTATGTATAAGTACGATCGTATCGTCTATCTCGGATAATTCTTGATCTAAAATTACTGACGAGAAACAAGAAAATACTTTTAAAATCAGGGCTTTTCATAGATAATAAGATTTTCTCGCGAATTAATTTTTAATATATTTTCCTCAAGAAGGAAGAATCATAGTAATTTAGCGCAACGCAATACCGACAGGGAAAGCCCTAATAGAGGTCGAATAGCCGTAATTACAGGTTCTAACTATCCTAATTATTCGCGATGTGCGCGTTGAGTCTTGCTAATTATCGCGAATAATGTCGTTATCATAATCATGGAGGAAGGGCCGACAGCTTAATTTCATGGCATATCTCGTAGCCGTCATTTCTGTCTCGCGTTCATCGAAAGGTGACGCGTCACAGAGATTTACCATCCCCTTTGTTTAATCAGTCTTCTTTCCTATCGATCGCTTACGCGAATCGAGCTGTATCGTTGGGTTTTCCGCTCTGGCTCGACACGTGTTATCCTTGCATTAGATAATTGCGTGGGATTATCTGCTCGCGCATACGAACTCGTCTCACGTCTTGCGTACGTAAACGATATCGAAACTCTTCGTGTATCGAACGGAAACTGTTTTGTATATCCGAGCAGCGGATATAGAATCGGGGGGGAAAGCGATATATACGGATGATTTTGCTAGTTTCAAAACGCATCGAGCTGCGATATTATTGGTACGTTGCCCGTGCGATACATTTATTCGAGTTTGCCTCATTTATTCGTGACCGCTGCAACTTTCGTCGGGACGTCGGAATCGCCCGGTAAAGCTCGTCGACATCTAGCATGTGTATATCGAGCGGATCAATCTTGCGAGAAACGCGAGTCGCTCTTTGATTGCTACAAAGAGGCCGAGATATCGCCTCAGGCCAAGCGTGCTGCTCTTATTAATTACAGTTTATCTTTTCCGTCTAATCGATTCCGTTTAAGCGTTGAATTCCGAGAGAGATAGCATTCGTTGATTTCGTAAGAATTTACGATTTCAAGACTCTTACAATCGTTATCATTATCTTATAACTCGTTTTATTATGTCATATTAAAATAAATTTTCACTAAATAGCTGCCCCTTTTCATTAAGAAAAGTGAAGAATAAAACTAGAATAAGACACAATCTCTTCATGTCATCGGATTGCAATGAAACAACGCGGAAAGATATGCGAGACAGACCGTCTGTTGAATGGTAAAAATAGAGAATAGAAATAAAAAGGCGCGACGCAGAGAGATGAAAAAGAGAGGAAGGTCTTTATATTATTCTTTTTCAAACTCTGTCTTTCTTACGCATTAACGTCTTGCCCCATTCGTCCCTTTCTGCTTCTGTTCGAAAACTCCCTCTTTTGTTCTTGTTCCATTGTTCACGGCTACTTTTGGACGCACGATGTCGAGCAGAGATTATTAACCGACGTTACCTGTCTATCCGAAACGAAACTACTTTTATCGTTCGCACGTTTCGTCTGAAAAATTTATGTGATGGGAGATTTATTTTGAAAGTAGTATTGAAACTAACATAAGTTTTACGCTTCTTCGTACAACAATATTGTTCGGAAAAATGTGTGTCGACTTTTGTTTGGTCCTGTATTATCTAAGGGAGACAATAGAAAAATATTAGCCTTAGAAATTTTGAAAAAAAAATTGTCTTCGGAAATTTAGTACGGAAAATTCGACATTGCATCGAGAAATGTGTAATTGGTTCCTCGCGATGGCTTATCCATCGTAAATGCGTTTCGACGTTCGAAAATTCATAAGTAGGCAAGTAGGGTGCGGCAGAAATCGAATCGAATCGTAAGTTCCTCTGCATGATTCCGATGGACATCTGCATTTTCCTTCATGGGAATTTTGCGCGCTCGTAAGAAACGTGAGGAAAGCTTGCAAGAATCGGAAAGAAGACGAATCGAGATGACGTTTTCTTTTTTTTTTTTTTTTTCTATTTTCAAACAATGCACCTCTATTCCGCTCATACTTTCTGCCTTAGTCACGCTTTCGCTTTTTCTCTCCCCCTTTTTTCTCTCTCTCGCGTCTGCAATTTTTCTCTATAGATATGAAATTTCCCTCTTTCGTGCTCTCTTGGAACATTTTCAACCCGTCACGTCTAACTCCACGTTCTTTTTCGTGCGCCCGTCGATTACCAGGGAAACGATTCCCGCCGGGAATTAAACTCGAGGACGCGCGTTAGTTCGCCTTTTTTTGTCCGTAGTTGTTCGCCGTGTGACATTTTCCCTGCTGCAAATTTGCGGGGTAATCTGCGCGATCTCGTCGTGCGATAATTCGAGAGAGATTGCGAGTGATCTAACGTCGATTATGGCAGTAATCGAATGTGCCTTACGTTCTTAATTGAACGGGAAAAGGTTCGAGGCGTCCCATCCCGCGCGTCGTTACATAGACATTTTCCCGGATGAAAATGAGATTGGTTTAATGGGTGGGATTAAGTTTATCGGGAAAACACGCGATTGTGTCGAATCTTGTCGCGCGAAAAAAAAAAAGAGAAAGAGAGAGACGAAGGAGACTCTCGACCCCGAGACCGGAAACGAGGCAGCGAACGGAAAGTGGCATAGTGCCGCGGAAATGGAAACGAAAGCTCTTTTACGATCCATAAAGAATTTATGTGTAACAATTTTACCCATGGCAGCGTCAGTTTCTTTCGCGAAACTTTCCGCGTTGCCCGAAAATTCTCGCATACCCCGCTTAATAACTTCAAGTACGAGAAAACTATCGATTATCTTCGATCAATTATTTTACATTGACGTTAGTTAATCGCGACAAATTTTGTCGACGATTATTACGTTTTAATTAGCGTTTCGCACCCACACATAATGGCAACGATTCGATTTACCATCGATAGAAATGTTTAAAGTATTTTTAAACACAGACACAATACTTGATCAATATCATCTCTCACACAATCGTGCCTTATTACTGTTGGGTTATTATTAGCAAAGTGATCGCGCGATGCTATTCCGGAGAACGATTGTTGCCATTTACTTAAAACCGTGCGTTTTTATCCACGGCAATTTTCTCTGCACGAGTGCACATGGACCGTCGTAGCACCGTTTTTCCATTTTCCGAGTATTTTCATAACCGCGCGCCTCTTTCCCGTAAGTGGCACCCTAACATTTCCAACGGTACTCCTTACAGCCGTTACTTTTACACCCCTGACCCCGGCCGGGTTCTCTTTCTTTCATCGTTTCGTGTCTTATTCCGCTTATTACGGCCAAGCGAGTGAGTTTAAAGTCGCGTTCACTAAAAGGCTCTCTCAATTATTTACGCTCGTCGTCAATTATTCAGTTTGCGACCAAAGACTTCGTACCTCTTCTTCCTTCCCTCCCCTGCCTTCTCCCCCTCATGTTGGCGAGAGATCTATCAGTGGTCCCCTCGTTGTTATAAAGTGTTTAACTTAGCAATAACACGTAAATTAATCACGATTATTAATAAACCTAGTATTTTATAAAATGTACATCTCTGTTTTTCATAGTCTAATCTATTAATATTTAGAATATATTTCTTCTAAGATATATTAAGGTTTTTCTAAATCATATTCTCCGTGAAAATATTTTCGCAAAAAATATATTACACGATTATTAATTTGACAAACTTACTTGATATTTTTTTATAAAATGTATTTTTGTTTTTTATTATGTCTACTGTTACTTATAATCGTGACATGTTTTTAAAATTAAAAATTTTTTTTTTTGTAATTTACTCTTTATTATTCAATGAAAATTATTACCATAACTATTTTGCATTTTAAATAAATAATGATGCAAAAAAATTAAGATTTATAAATTTCCGCGACTATAAATTTTGATCATATTGAAATATTAATCAAACGTTAAACTATTCCTTAACATCAAAATTCCGTTTTCATCATATATTCTCTCTTATATTCTCCGTTTTACTATAATTATGACTTCACTTTACACGCGTGACACATCATCGATGATGAATGGGTTATACGTTCTCGACCAATTAGCTGGGCAACAGAAATTCAATCCCGTTTCGAGCGATTTATATCCCTTATCGTCAGTTATACGCCACTTCTTTCTTGTAATCCGCGTTATATCTTCCGCTCGATGATAAAGTCCACGCGTGATTTCATTTTTTGCTCGTGTGTCTGCGCACGAGTACAAGGTCGTTGAAACAGCTATGCATATTAGGAACCTATGCACATGTAATATCAATAAATGATACATAGCTTCGTAAAACCCGCTCGCTCCTCCTCCCCCGGCGGTCGTTATGTCACCGAGAGAGGGATTTTACGGATCAAGTTTACGGTATTGTCGCGGGCAACAAGAAGAATCCGCTTTATCGGGGACAATAATGACGCTCGCGAGGACACGCGGTAACATTATCTTCCTCTTCTCGTTTGGGATTCGCGCAATTAAAACGCAGGACGTCGTTGCATCGCGAAATATTTGTCCGAGCTCGGGCTCGGACGTTCCGATTAAATTTCGTACCCTCCTCGCATCCAGGTGAATACGAGACACGTTTATGTTATCCGGTACGTACAGCCCCGGTAGCGGAATTATTCCCGCGTGTGAAATTGATAAAATCTCAGGAATTTTAAATCAAATAACGCGAGAGAGAAAGAGAGAGGGACAGAGGGACTTTAATTGTAGTAACAGGGCTGATTGTTTTATCTTGTCCTGTAATCGTCGAGAGCGTGATGTATATTCACGCGGGCATCTCCCTCTCTCCGAATCGCATTCATTACTTTCTTATCGTATTCCCGCGCGCATTGCACTCTTTATCGCGACGGAAAAAGACGGGAGTCGGAAAGGGGAACGGAAACTTTCGCGAAGTCGAATTTCAAACTCTCATCATCGTAAGAGAAAGGGGAAAGAAAGAGAAAGAATTTTCAAATTTATTCAATAAATTCAGGCAGCGGTGGCGGAAGGAGCGATAGTACTCGCGTTACCACGTCGTAGACCGGTATTCGATTTGATTTAACGAAAATCGACGACTTCCGGTTTTGGCGCGTCACGATAGTCCTCGCGCGCACGTTCCTCGAGAGTCCGGAGCCGCGGCGCTCGTTTATCGCGATATCGTGTTGCGATTATGAATCATTCGTGCTTGTTATAGCTGCGCACGTAGGCGGACGCTCTTTGTCTATCCTTTAATATCGCGGATGGCCGGAAGCGATGGCGGGGGAAACGCGCTCGCGGGAGAAACGGACGGACGTACGAGCCCGGGGGTTCGCGTGATCACGGATCGCCGGGGGATCGCTCGCCCATTTTTTTCACCGCTCGAGAAGGGGTGCGTGGCCCCCCGGGGGGGGGGGGGGGATAAAAACGAAACATTTACGAGGGGCAGGAGGATCGACGGATCCGCCATCCTTTCTCGCGCACCTTTTTATCTACCTGCCTGTCCTTCTCGCACCCGCGCCCCGACCCTACCCGATTTGCGTAAACACACTCTAATTTATGGAGGGTTCCCATCCCTCCGTCGCGGTTGGCACCCTCGCGATTTACGAGAACCTCCCGCGTAGCCGGGAGATTAGAGGCTCGTCCTGATCGTTCTTTCTCCCCCTCTCTCTCTTTCTCCCTTTCTTCGGCAACTCCGATGTTATCCTTACTCCGTTATATCGATGGCAGGAGCGGTGAAGCCGCTCGAAGGAATCTCAGGACGCGCGCGATTATTACTTTATCTCGATCTTTGTTGCCGTCGCAACCTGCGGCGATACGGGACGCCGAAGACGTCACATCGAGATCGCGAGGAAACATTTTCTCCCTCTCGTGTTTTTTTTTTTTTTTTTCGCCTTTCCTGTCTTTTCTTTAGGCCGCCGGAGAGATCGGGTTTTACGATTTCGCCAAGCTACCCGCGGTACCCGCCTCTTTATCTCTCCGTCGGGTAATTCGCAAATGGAATAACGTCCCCCTGCGGAACAAAGGACTGCCAGACAGAGCCCCGTGTCGCATTGTCTGAGATTTTTCGTGCGATAGCGATAGCTAATCCCGCCGCGGTTTCCGCACGAATTCGTTGTTGAGAGAGCGTACGCGCGCACACCCTTTTCTATCGTCATTCGTTGTAATCATTTGAAGTGGAAAGGCGGTAAGAAAGATCGGAGACGACGATCGCGGACTCTCATCGAAACGAAATCGGGATGAAAAGGACCGAGTCAACCTTAGAAACCCGACCCTGAGATCTCGAACGATTTTATTGAAAAATAAATGTCTATAAAATTCCGGTTTTACATAAAAATCTCGAAGAAATGTTTTGCAGAAATTTATTAATATCATCAGTTTTTCTCTTCTCTCGTGTAAAAAAAGAGAAATATATAAAAATATGAGGATAGCGTATACAAAAAGTAGACGAATATTATAATTAAAAAATCCGTGTAAAAGATAATAATTACTTTTTTAGGGCTCTGGTGTTATTTTCTCTCTCTCTACCATAATTATAAATATGATATATTTAAAACGCGAGAGAGGTCATTGCATGAATCCAGGATCGGGTTACATCTTTTCGTTCGTGTTGAACAGAGAATCGGGTTCCACGAGTTAAATACGATAAGCTGTCTCGGGCATATACGCGAGAGGAGAAAATATACTTCCTTGTCTCTCGGAGCCGGAAGATACGTGCCCTAGATCTACGTCGCCGATAGCGCGAGCGATTTTTTTCCCTCGCTATCTTTCCTCGACCTCCTCGCGGTATTCGCGAGGCGAGGTGATTCAATCGAAAATCGATTCTAACGCGAATGCTTATCGGGGATATCGGGCTTGTGGCGAACCTACCTCTCCCTCCTCCTTGCAGTCGCAGGTCAACCGGCCGTAGTGGTCGCAGGAACAAGGGGGATAGTCGCACCTGCTGGTGGAGTTGGTCAGGACGCCCTTGAGTAAGCTGCTCCAAAACAGTCCTAAGATCGCGCTACCCAACACATATCTCGTTGCTCCCATTTTGCGCCTCTCGCTCGCACCCTCGCCCCCGCACCTCTCTCCTTCTGCCATACGCTCTCAAAGGGTTTCCTCTTCTCGCTCCGTCTTTATCACCGGCTGTTTTATGCCAAGCTGGCGCCAGGCGATAATTCCGCGTCGAGCCGACCGCGAGGTCGTCTCGACATGTCTCTTCGCTGCTCTTTAAATCCGCGTTGTCGAATTCGCCGGTGTTTTTTTTTTTTTTTTTTCCAATTGAAAGAACCCGGGGGCCGGTTAA